AAGTACTGGAACTAAAAGGCGTGTGCCACCATAACTGGTAGAATTAGACTTTATTAAGAAAATCTTGGGGCTGGAGAGATGGCTCTGTGGTTAAGAGCACTGGCTTCAAGCCGGGTATGGTGGTGCATGCCTTTAATCCCAGCACTCGGGAGGCAGAGGCAGGCAGATCTCTGTGAGTTCAAGGTCAGCCTGGTCTACATAGTGAGTTCCAGGTCAGCTGGGGCTACAGGGAGACCCTGTCTCGAAATGACCAAGAAAAGCACTGGCTGCTCTTGCAGAGGACCCAGGTTTGAGTCCCAGCACCATGTGGTGGCTAACAACCATCCCTAACTCCAGTTCTAGTGCATACAAGCCTTCTTCTGACCTCCCTGGGCATTGCCCAATATAGGTGCATTTACACACATGCAGGCAATACACTCACATAAAAAATTTTTTTTTTAAGTAAAAAAGAAAATCCCCATTTTTAAGCTGGGTGTGGTGGTACATACCTTTAATCCCGGCACTCAGGAGGCAGAGGCAGGTAGATCTCTGTGAGACTGAAGTCAGCCTGGTTTGTCTAGGGAGTTCCAGGCCAGCTGGGCGACCCTGTCTGAAAAAGCAGAAACCAAACATACCCATCTTTTATTCTTTCTTTTTTGTCTACATCGTTAAAACTGGTTAATGGCTTGTGTTAAAGGCCTTTTCTGTGTCTATTAAAATGATTGATTTTTTTTTTTTAAATCACATATAGTGTGTCCAGATGTGTCACAGCATACTTGTGAAAGTTAGAGGGCAATTTGCAGGAGTTGGTTCTCCCCTTCCACCAGGGTCTCAAGGATTTGGGGCCTTTCCCACTGGGCCATCTAGGCAGCCCATCATGATTTCTGTCCTTGAGGCCACTTATATGGGAAGTACACATATGAAGCTTGCACCGCTACACATCTCAAGTGGGGACTCCCAGCATCTCCCTGTCTTCCCTGCTGGAGGGAAGGGGAGGCAAAGGAACTCCATGAATGCTCTATCCAAGTGAAACTCAAGGTTCTCTGGGGAACCACCCTAGAACATGCATGCTTTATCTGAGGCTTCACCCCCCAAACATCAAGCTTTTAAAAGCAGCCTGAATACATAGTTGTCCTTTTAAAGAAAGATAAAGGAGCTGGAGGGATGGCTCAGGGTTAGCATTTGCTGCTCTTGCAAAGGACATGGGTTCAGGTCCTAACAACCACATGGCCATTCAAAGTGTACTCCAGTTCCAGGGGACAGAACACCTTCTATGGCCTCTCTGCACACCAGGCATGTATATGGTACAGACACACACATAACATAAAAACCTTTTACAATTTTAAGAATGAGATTTTGGTGATAGAGAGTTCATCCCTGGGCCTTGTGTGTAAACAAATGCTCTGCCATTGAGCTACACCCCTAGCTTGTAAGGATGTTTTAAGATCAAAACCCTTGTTCCCACCCCATGTTTTCCAGAGACGAGTAGGATAAGGACCCAAATCCTTAACCTTTCAAAATCTGGCTTCTGCCCAGGGCCAGTGTTCTGTCCTGCTGCAGTGATTGACAGTGTCATAGTAAAGGAGAAAGAGGGTCTTGTTTATGTGCTGGGACCGTCTAAACATTTATTGCACTGAAAAGGGACAAACGCTCTAGAACGTGTTGGATGGTGTATCTGATCCTGGTTGTTTCCCTCAAAGGCTGCCCCCTAGTTGCTATACTTTGTAGTGCATTCCTCTTTCCAGTTGGTGATTGCCAGGCGGCCTAGTTTGTGTAAATACATTAGTCTTAGTCAGTCTTCGTGTTCTTTTGGGTTTCACTGTTTACTTTTTAAGTAAAGCTTTGTACTGAGAGGAAATAGTCAAAGCATCGATGACAGGTTCTGCACCACACAAAAAGATCTGAAAAATCTAAAAAGTGTTTGCTGCACAAGCCTGAGGACTAAATCCAACCCCAGAACCCATGTAAAAAACCAAGCATGCTGGCCTGCTTGTAATCTCAGTGCTGGGGAGGCAGAGACAGAGGTCTGAATGAGAGCTGGCATCTGAGGAGTGCCCGAGGTTGACCTGACCTTCACACGCATGTACACACAGGAACAGATGCGTCTACCAGTACCTTCCCAAGACCAGATGTATAAAGACAGCTTAACATCCATTCATTGAACATTTCTTCCTGCATCAGCTACTGCAGATACAGGGTGTGAGCACCTTTATTCTCCTGAGCTTACAGTCCACACAGTAAACTGCAGTAGACTCACCACCTCACATGGGAGCGCAGTAGAAATGTGAAGAGTGAAAAACCAAGAGATACACGTAGTAAACAAGAGAATTTATTTGGAAAGTAGGGTATAAAAAGCATGATTCTAACACTTATTTAGAATATTAACAGAACTAGAAAAAGTTACAAACTACAGAAAAGGCAGTCTCTGCAGCTGGCTCACTGGCCGCACAGCATAGACAAGCAGAACCCAGAGCTGCTTTCATGCAAATAAGCATTAAGGAAAATTCCTGGGAATGTTTACAGAACAGGCCAAAACAAAAAGTTTTTAAATTTACATTAAGAAACTGTACATAAATGGAAAAATAAATTAGATCATTTACAAGAAATGTTTTACAGGTTACAATAGGCTATAACAGTTTATTATGCATAAAATTTGTAGCACATCATACATTTTTACATAAGATTCAATGTTAGAAGAATCTAGACATAACAAAGCTTAGTTCTGATAAGAACACTGCAAAAGTCAGAATAAGGCAACTTACACTGAAGTGGCATGTATAAGCAAAATAAACCCCAAATTGAAAAGATACCCCAGATTAGGACATAAAACATCTAGGAATGGTTTGATCAGTAACTGGGTAGAATTAAGAAAAGTGTCCAACTTCAGTTCAAATGAGAGTCCAGTTAATTCAAACAGGAAGTGAATGCCACACAGCAAGTAGAAACGTCAGTACCACCTCACTAACCGAGTAGCGTCATTAACTGTATGTGAGATAAGGAGACTGCAGCATTGGTGTTAGACCCAATAAAATTCTTTCTAAATGCTGTTAAGTAAAAGGGGCCACCCAGAAACAAGTGGCAAATTTCAAAAAGGCTTAGTAGTGGTGTTAAATACTGACTGAGTTGGTATGATAGCCAGATGAAACTCAGACTTGGGGTGCAAAATTAAAATATCTCAAACCATTTTACATCTTTTATGAATATAAAACAAATTATAGAAAAAGGAAAATGCTTTCTGTGAGAGCCATTGGAACCTTAAGCACTACACTGAATGAAAGGTATTTAGAAATTAAGATACATACTTATAAAATGCAAAACTATTATTTTAACTTCATTTACTCTTTAAAAATACATTATTTACCAGTTCTTTAAACACAAAATTAGTGGCAGCTGCAGCAAAAAGACCAAAAATGGGGGGAATCCTTTGACTATAAAATAGACTGTGAATAAAGATTGGATTCCCAAACATACCACTGAAAACTAGTACCAGAAATTCCAGTACCTGTTTACATTTATTGTCAGTAGTAAGGAAGGAATGGCAGACATGTGTCTGATTACTCAGAAAACCTAAGAAAAAAGCATTTGAGGTCTTCAATATAACCTCATTAGATACGATCGTAATCCACTTCAACTTACAGATAATTAAACTTTTGTAAATGTTGCTATGAATTGTGTTGGATGAAAGCAATATATATTTTCAGAAGTGGTTTGTGTCCACCCATACCTGTTCCCACTCACAATGATCAGAAACAAAACAAAACAAAACAAGGAAACCACAGGTCAGAGGGACCACTTAAAAAAAAAGGCCAAATATATCTAATACTCTAACATCTCTGAATTTAGAGGGGGTATGTTCATCTTGTACCAGGAAAAATTAGTAAAAATGACTGTATAATTTTGAGATTAGCAGTAAAAATTCAGTGTTAATATACACACATACTTTAGGATATATAAAACACCCATCACATACTTTAATAATCCATTTGCTATTAAAGGCCATGAAAGAACTAATAGCATTTTCCTGGTTTTCTGAGATGCAAAATCTAGTACCATTAACATATACCAACAGAAGTCAGAGTATTAAAGATACTATATGAGCACTAGAAATTAACCAGAACATGAAAATATCTGAAACTATTGTGCCAGCCATCCCAGACAGGCCAGGAATGGGCAGTCATCTTTCTCAAACTCCTGATAACTGTGTTGCTGCAGTAGTACAATTCTCTCACTTTACATGTAGCATTCAAAGAAGTTAAGCCAAGGACCAGCACTACAGTGTAAAACACCTAAGCAGCTGGGTATGGTGGCCCACACCTTTAATCCCAGCACTTGGGAGGCAGAGGCAGGTGGATCTCTGAGAGTTCAAGGCCAGCTGAAGCTACAGAGAGACCCTGTTTCAAAAAACCCCCTCCAAATAATCTCCTCTGTATATATTTGTATGTGTGTGTGATATACATGTTTGTATGGGTGTGTGCATGTGACAAAAGAAAGATTTATCGTCCTCTTTTTTTTAAAAAAAAAAACCCCTTTTAAAAAAAAAAAAAAAAAAAAAAAAAAACAAAACAAACCACACTGAAGTATATATAACTCCACATTTGAACACACAGACAAGTGGAGTGCAACCAATACGCAGTGATTTAACATCTGCACGTTCTCCAAGTAGAACTAAGGGACAGCAGAAGGGGTATCAACCATTCACTTCATGCTGTTAGTCTGAAAGGCTCCTACAGTACTTTTTTCATCTTTACTACTGATAGTATGAGATTTAGTAGAAAATAAAAGACAATTCCTGTTACATACTGAAAACAGGTAGTCATTTTGTAAGATTATCTGGCCACAGAAACAAAGCTGGCTAACTTCCATTGATATCAGAATGAAACACAGGAAATAAACAGAATCTTAGCCAGGAAAAAGACATTTCAAGGCAATCTAAGATCAGAGTATTATCAAAAAAAGAACATTACAATTATCCTGTTTGTATACACCACAGAACAGTAAGCTGAATTCAAAGGAATACACACTCATTTTCATTATCCTTTAATCAGGTTTCTATGTGGCTTAGGAGAATTTTAGAATTATATTCTCAAATGCAACACATGAAGAGAAAGCACTCAATAGAAGAACAAAAGATACAAATAAGCTACAAATTTTGCTTATAACAAAGTGGTTATAAAGGACATTTAGAAACCACCCAAGAATGTAACCTTAAAAGAGCATCAATTTTTTAGAAACAGGTGCCTTAAATACAACAATCACACGCATACTGAAAGGTAAAACTAATTCTGGAGTTTTTGAAGAGTCTACTAGTACCGGCAAATAATTGGAACTCGAGGGGCTGGCTTTAATTATCATGTCCATTATTGGCAATGATTTTGTCCAACCTCCGAGTCCACTTAAGAGTAGCTGAGCAAGGAAAATGCCATGGTAACTTACACCGCACATCTATAGAAACTTGAAGAAGTCTAGTTAAAAGGGACTATTTCGGGGCGGGGGGGGGATGGTGGTAGTTAAGTTTGGACTTTTTTTTTTAATCACCAAAACCAAACTGACAATTTTTATAAAGATTCTTTGTAGAAAAATTGATAAGGAGTTAAAAAGTATTTTCTTGGTAATTCTTCCAAACTGACTGCACAAACTCAGAATTTTAGAAATTAAGTCCCTGGCATTAATTTTTCTTAAGTGAAGGGATTTTGGAGACTGCTAACTATGAGAATGTATCATAGGCAATTTTGAGAGTATCAGACATTATAAAAATTACATATGCTATAAGATGAATGATGCCAATATAAGGAAGGCATTTTTAGAATAGTCAGAAATAGCTTGCTGTGTAAAATAAACTGTTCCAAGTAAGTGATTTTATCTCTACTTAAGAGTCCCATTTTTTCCCTATCTTGTTCTTTTATTAGCCCGTATTCAAAGTTTCCATGGTCATATGATACTGGTCTCTTTTAAGGAGCTCTAGAAAAGCCCTAGCACAGTGGGTGCTATATAGCTACTGACTGTGAAATGAGGTCAGTCCAAATTGAGATGTGCTGTAGGTATAAAATACACACCAGCTGTGGAGACTAGAGCAAAGAAATAAAGTAAAATATACTTCCAAATTTTTTGCACTATTTAACAGATATCCTGGTAAATAAAAACATGTAACTAAAATGATTTTCACCTATTTCTTGTTCTTTTTATTGTGTTTACTAGAAAATATAAAATTATAGTTTACATTTTATTTTTATTAGATGGCACTGTTTCAGAACACAGCTCTTTGATTAGGATGATGGACATGGAAGTGAACTTATTTATAAAATGACAGCATGCTTACAGGGAATTTCTCAAAATCAAAATAAAGAAAATTAGAATCGCTGGGCGTACTGGCTGACACTTCTGATCTCAGCACTCGGGAGGTGGAGGCAGGTGGATCTCTGGGAATTCAAGGCCAGCCTGGTCTACATAGTGAGACCCTGTCTGAAAAAACAAAAATCAAACCAGTGACAGAAAAAATTAGAATCCTGGCAGCCTTCATATTAACTCTGTGTTATTTATTAGTTCAGCAATTCTAGATTACATCTGAAGAAAGCTGAGAACAGGAGGGGCTGTTCACTGGACATGTGTAGGTGATTTCAGCAGGTAAATCTCAGTTCCATATGAACCAAAGAACAGATCAAACTAACATAAATACTATTCAATCGTTTTCTTAAAGACTGCCCTAAACCTACAGTTGCTGATGTATAGAATTTCCACAGGTATCAGACTTGTAGTTTCTACCATTCGGTTACATTCTTATCTGTACACACAAATCGGAAACAAAATAAATGGAACCAATGGCACTTCAGTTCATATGGCCAGCCACTGTGATGGAGACATTACACAGTGACATCAATGTCAGCTTTTAAAAGTTCTATCCAGTGGAATGAATTCAAAGTTCCAAGTAGTCTATGTGAGCAAACATTATCTTTACATGCTTCCCTCCCAAAATGCTATTATTTATATGTTCATATCTTTGGGGGAAAAAACCCTGAATTTTAAATACTTGCATACAAAATTTTGAACACTACATGGAGAAATGTCTTTACTAAGCATATCTTGACAGTTTACGGAACACTGCTCTCTATTGAGCAACACTGGGGTCTAGGAAAACACATTGAAATACTTTTGAAAATGTAAATAATCTCTAACCTCTTCAAGGTATTTCTAGAAACATTGGTAATTTATACAGGTCAATTTCCCTCACAGACGCAATTATCAGACCTCCAAAATGTTACTGTCTATGTAAAAAGCTCAGAAATTTCATGGCATAAAAACATGAATTCAAAACAGAATGAATTTCAAAACAAAAAGAATGGCAAATTCTGGACCTACAATGTTTTTAAGACCAGAATGTACAAATACTGATCCTTTTGTTATTCTGCAATACTGCCTCAGAGTCCCAAAGTTGCAAAATACCCATTTAGAATAAAAATGATTCTGTTGTGATTGTTTATAAGATAAAATCTTTAGTGCTTACAATGCAGACTTCGTGAGAAGAAATGTCTATGCTTGGGCCTGAATGATTCACTCTGACCATATTCCATACATACAGTCCAAGAACTAAAGTTTGTAATTATGATTCCAACTTTAAAATAGCAAACATTTAACATGTTGATTAATACATCAAATAGAAAAAATGTAATGTCACCAAATTATGTGCAAAAAATTTCCAGGATTCATTTGGAAATTCAGTTTAATGTTTAACCACAGAATTTCAATTCATGATGGCATTTGAGAAAAATTATACTTCTGGAGAAAGATCCTATCGACATGCTTTTTTGAAGCTATGTTACAAAAACTACCATAGTTAATAATATTGCCTTAACGTTTCTTAATCATACAGAATGATCATCTTTGATTGCTGTTACAATAAATCTTGATACAGGGTACTGCTGTTACTTTCTGCTCACTATACACCAAACATACATAAATCAGACTCAGAACAAATATTCAGAATCAATTATTTTTCATAAGAAAACATTTCTGAGACTTTTAAGATTTGTGTCCTTGCATATAGTACTGCAATGTTGGCTACATAAAATAAATAATCTTTTTGAGAGAAAGCCCAATAGTCAAGAGGCTGTATTGCATTTTAAAATGGAACGCTGGCTATATACATAAGGGAAAACATCTCAATGTCAAATACTTTAAGCTCTCTTTTTAATATGGTAACACTCAGGAGCTTAGCATTCTGACATTTAAAATCAACAGGAATAGTGTTACTTTTATCCTTTGGTTCCCAGTGACAAATAATGAATGCAGTCTCTGGTTTCGGTTCCTCCTGGGTGACATTTGTTAGCAGAGATCTCTGCTGTCTTAGCTGAAATTTGGCAGCCCAAGAAGTGCACCAACAGCTCCAAAATATCCCTGCAAGATTTTTAAACAATTGTTAATTCAATGTAACGTTTTGTTTTGTTTTAGATAGGGTCTCCCTGTATCCCCAGATGACCTGGATCTTAGAGAAATCCTCCTGCCCATACACACACACACACACACACACATATGTATGTATATGTAATCAATATATATTGATTATATATAATCAATATTCTCAGCAATATTTGGAAATTCTGCAACATCCATATTCTCTCTCCATATACATATACTTTTGAAATACATTCATTTAAATTGTTAGATGCTATGACACTTGCACAACTATTCTGTACCCTCTCCCTTTTACTCAAAAAAAAAAAAAAAAAAAAAAAAAAAAAAAAAAAGCAGCTCTGACACTCAGCATATGCCTTGTGGGACTGTAAAGAGCACTCCACTCTGATCTGTGTGGAGAGTTGTGACAATGAAATACAGGAATTTATTATGATAATACTTTGAATCTGCTTTTAATTCAGATAAGCATTTGATTCAATGACATAAAAAAAAGATGGCCAACTAAGGATTATTGCTTAGATTCAAATTTAACTCATAGTAAATAGGGAGGAAAAAGGAGGAAGTTGTTTTTTTAATTGAGTGTGGGGTCTCCCATGTAGCCCTGGCTGACATGGAACTTTATGTAGATCAGACTGGCCTCAAACTTGTGGCAATTATCCTGCCTTTGTTTCTTGAGTGATAGGATTACAGAAGTGCACTATCAAGCTCAGTTAGGACAAAAAAAAAAAAAAATCTTAAGAAGTAATTCCTAGGGGCAGGGGGAGTTTAAAATGGTAGGGTTTGAACAAAATTCTCTTTTTTTAATTATTGTGATT